ATCAAGGAACTACCAGAAGAACAAAACAGAACCCCCACCCCCACCAGCACTGGCAAAGCAGACCATAGCAGATAAATAGAGAGCGAACCTCATCCCATTTTAGCACTGAAGATGTTACCTAGCCAGGTAATGAAACGTTTGCAAGAAAAGAACCAAGCTCAAAGAAGCCCAAGGACTCCACGGTGCTCTAGGAGCTTGAGAAGTCCATCTGGGTGACACTGGGTTGACTGTAGGCCAACATTGTAGCCTGGGATTTTCATCCCTTATTCATATAGTTTAATTACATTTTATGGAGCAACTGTGGCCACTTCTGGAATAGGAGACTCTGATGTCAGCTTATCATTCCCTTGTCACATTGCAGCTGCATTCTTGCAATCTGTTCTACCTGGGGCTGCATCTGAAAACCATTCAGAAGCTTCAGCTGGTCTAGCATAATAGTGGAACCGAAGGCTAAAAGTAGGTTCAACCAGATAAAATCACTACTCCTGAAGTTGCATGAATCCACACCCAACTTCTGGATATAAGAAAAGGTGGTACTTATCCCTTTTAAAGCCTTACATGGCTTAGGGTTTGGATAACTCTAAGACCACCTTCTCCAAGTTGAATCTGCACTCCCAATGGGATCTAATAGAGAAGGCTTGCTGAAGGTCCCAAATCTAGGGGAATACCATCTCTGTGGAGCCCATTGTCAAACCTTCTTACTGAAGGCCCCCCCTACCCTCAGATATTCAGGCCACCCCTCCCTATTATGGTTTTGTATAGCTGGGAAAGAACACCTCTTTAAAGAACTCTGTGGGGACCTATCATCAGGGCCCTGCTATCGTCTATCTTAATGACATGACTAATTTTAATTTTATGTTGTTAATTGAAATCCACACATAGAATGTAAGCCAAAATAGTAATAATATATATGCCAACCTTTCAGAAGGTCCTTGAGCTGATTCTTCCCTCAGCCACTTGACTACGATTGTAGATGAGCCAAGGGTAATTATTTGAGGTCTCCAGTGAGGAACATCTCATTATTTTCTTGTTGCACTTTCATACTGTGATTTTTTAACCTTGGTTATCTGTCAAGAGTTACTTGGTGAGTGGTTGGCCAGACAGATAGATAAATGTAGATGTAAATATATACATTTAGAGCCTGATATTAGAGCTTTTCAACTGAGCTCAGTTTTAATTTCTTTATTAAAAAAAAGAAAGAAACTACTAAATCTTGCAACCTCTTAGCATATCTGTCACTGCTGATGAATCGTTAATCATTTCTCCCCATGCAAGGGCTACTGTTTGTTTATTTGTCGTATTTATATAGCTGCCCATCTCACAGAAAAGTGACTGCGGGCGGCATACATCAATTAAAAAGAATAAATACATAAAAAACCATCCCAAGCAAGAATAACTATAAAAGCACACAAACCAGGAGGCAATAATATTAATAAGGGAGCCATCACAATATAATACTATCCCAGAATAGTATTATAATCCTTGTATCTTCTGTCTCTTGGTCTTCTCCACAGTGTGCTATGGTTGCACGCATCGGCCCGTCGTGTTTTTTACCAAACCATCTTATAAAAGCCTACTTGATACATCGGCCGTCCTCGTCTGCACTGTGATTTCTTCTAACCTTGAAAGTGCTCAGATAACCTGGCTTGTGGATGGCAAGCCAAGCAGCGATGGCGTGAATGAGATGGTGAAGATTGATGCTAATGGAAGTCAGAACTTGAGAAGCAACCATTCGGTGTCTTTGGAGCAATGGAGAAAGGGCACCATCTTCGCCTGCAAAGTAGCCGGGAGTTGCTTTGAAGAACTCACAGAAGAAATAACCATCAAAAAGGATACTTGTGAGTAGACTGTCAAGCCCTTTACCACGTCTCTCTGTCAAGAAAGCAAGAATCACATAACTTCACAATAAAGGGTTTTAATGTACAAAACAGGAATAGTGTAAAGAACTTTGGAAGTTGTGATGGGGATCCTCCACCCTTTGTTATTAGTGACTTAATTAAAGTGCAGTTTCTTTGAATATTTTGAATTTCCTTTTCCTAGGTTTTTTGTACCTTGGACTGATGTTTATAAGATGAGCTACCAAGGAATTCCTTTCCTATCTGTTGAGAGTTTAAGTCTAGAATTTCCCCAGGTCCTTTTTCAACCTCTTCACAGTCTTTCACATGAACCGTCTTCAGAAATTCACCTTTTCCTTCCTTGCTATTTTCTCTCCTTCCATATTTTTGAAGGCCAGAAAATAATGACGGGGAGGATGGTGCATATGGCCTGCTCCCAATATTTTAATGTCTATGGCAGGAAAACAAAAATGGCATCTATTTATACACAGGCAGAAGTTCTCTGATGCAAGTTTCACAGAAAAGAAAAGTATGTGAGCTGAAGAACTGACTGAGGGGCCCTCCTTCAAAGCCAAACTTCTAGCAAATAGGGGAAATTCACACATACACACACACACACACATGTATATGCAAAGACACATCTTGAGTACCAGTGCGTGGTGTGAAGGGTTTGGACAAGGACTGAGAAAAGCCAAATTCACCCCCAACCTTGAAGCTCATTCATTGACCATGGACCAGCCTACCTCAAAGTGTGATTGTTGTGAGGATCCCCATGTAAGTTATCTAGAGTTCCTGAAGGAAAGAAAGGATATAAAACTAAGAAATACATTTTTTAAAATAACAATAAATTGTATGTGCATATCACACACATATTCCATCTGCATCCTCTAAAATGAATCTTATTGTTCCCCCAGACTAAGACAGGATGAAACATCTTCTCTGCTCTTACATTTCCCTGAAAAAAAAATCCATATTCTGCCTTGTTGCTTCACCAGGAGAAAAAGGCAGGCTGCTTTTTTTTTTTCAGATAATCAAAAGGAAGGCAAAAAAGTTGGTATGGTCACAGTGAGGCCTCAAGCATTGCTCTCAATCATATTTGGTTCTTTCTAATAGGGCATAGCCAAATTGAATTGGCAGGACAGCATAATGAGATCATCATATTCACCATCCGCAGGACCATCCATTGAACCTCTGTCAGCATGACACGAGTTGTGATGTCATAGCAAAAGGCCCACCCCTTACGTGGATGCTTTGACATCACAACATATGTACAAAAGTGGCAGAGTCTGAATGGTGACCTTACAACACAATACATTTCTTGCTTGCCTCTCTGGATACACCTGACTATGAAATGACCAAGTGACTGAGGAGATCTAGGGAAAGAGAAAAACGGGGAAGACATTTTACACTAAATTAAATTAGAATTAAATATAATGTATTAATTTATTTCATATGATTAAATTAAATTAAATTTTAAGGATATTTTACACTAAATTAGCAGTTTGGTTAGTGGTTAAAAACACTGGATTTCGAGAGGGAAGACACAGGTTCTTATGCATGAAAGCTAGTTGTATGAC